GGAGAGGGCGGCGACTGGAGGGGGCGGCGACTGTGGATGCGGATGCTATTGCATGTGCCAGGCGGGCCCCCGCGGGCACTGATGCCGAGGGACGCTCTGGTGGAACGATTCGGCTGAGGCTATATGGGGACATCTACATTGACGGATCAGGCCTATCTCCAATCCAGTGGGCTGGCCAGAAGCTCATCGTGCTGGATGGGGTATTGCAATGATGACGGGTCAGCACATGCGTGGAATTGCGATTGGTCCACCACCTGGACGACAGCAGTCTGTACCGCGTGCGCGGCGTTACACTTCTGTGCTGGTCTTGCGACACGGTATGCTGCCGACGCACATTCGAAAGGACTGTCTCGGGACGGTGGAAGGACCACTACAAGGCTAGCAATCGTGCGCGCATCCAAGCAGGCCCAACAATGACTTGTGGAGGATGATGCGGCATGCTTTGGAGGATCAAGGTTCCCTATCAGAGCAGTTGCGGATCACAAGTGTGCGATCACATCAGACGCGTGCCGAAAACACTCCAGACAAGACTAGGGACGATTTGCTGACGTCGCGGGGAAGAGGGGTTTGACCGTGCGCGCGTTGTCCGTGCAGGTCGCCCAACTACATGCTCAACTGCTCCACGTCACGAAGCAGGTGACCTGTTGGATAGGGGCGTCGATGCCACTTGTGGGGCACCAGGGTCGCCAGCCCCCCACTTACACTTCGTTCATGTCTAATCGTGCTCATTTCTAACTGTGCTCGTTTCTAACTGCTCCTGGCCCCCCAGTGGCCAGGAAGAGGCCCAGGATAGAACAATCAGACATGAAAGGATCTTGCCCCCCCCCCAGAAAGTCAAAGACCTTCCGAAGAACCAGAAATGCACAGCGTGTAGGGGTTCTTGCTTGGCTTTGGGAGCACTGGGCTCGTCTGCCGCCCCGGCGAACTGGTCCTCGCCCCGGCCTCGCCCCATCGCCGCCGGTCACGGCCCCCCCAAAGATCCGATGTCGTGATTTTTTCAATACGCGGTCCCCGGAAGTCTCGACCCATTCCCCAGGACCGGTTTTTCATCCTGAGTCGTTTTTTGACGCTCCCGAGGCCTGGCGAGGGCTCCCAGGGGCCGAAATTTGCGAGAAACGTTTTTTTCAATGCGTTGGATCTCTGGGCCCACTGCCGCCCCGTTGCCGCTCATCGCCGCCCCGTTGCCGCCCGTGGCCGTCTCGTGTGCCCGGCCGGCCCGTGGCCGCCCCGTCGCCGCTTGTCGCCGCCCCCTCGCCGCGCCTCGCCGGTGTGGTCTCCCCACGGCGTGGCTCTTGCCGCATGGGCTGCACCACGTCACTTGCACCACACAGGCTGCACCACAATGGATTGCGCCCACACAGCTGACGCCGCAAGGGTCACAGGTCATGGCTCACACGAGTTGGGCTGTACCGCGTAGCTTCCACCACGTAGCTCACACCACATAGGTTACACTGCATAGCTTGCGCCACTTAGGTTGCACCACATATATGGCATCACATACATCGCACCACATGGCTTGCACCACATATATTGCGCTTCGCAGCTCTCACCCCATGTATCGGACCACGTAGATCGCACCACATAGCTTACACCACATCGCTCACACAACTCAAGTGTATACGTTGCCTCTACATAGTTTGCACCACATGTCTTGAACCAGCTAGTTCATGCCACATCAATTGCCCTGCTCATTTTGCATCGCTGGGATTGCACGACGTAGCTTACACCGCGTATATCGCATGACAGGTCTTGCATCACATGCGTTGCACACGCCGCTCACACATTCCATACTACACCACGTACATTGCACCACATAGGCCTACACCACATAGCTTGCACCACACGTCGCCGCGCCGTTTGTTCCCGACGCGCCAACACGGACGAAACCGACACCACGGTAAACGCACGTCAAACTCTGCATCCAAGCGCGCGCCAGAACAAACGGCGCAGCGACATATCTTGCACCACGTAGATTGCATTACATAGTATGCTGGGAACCTCTGTTTGGGGTCAACGCGGGCTAACATGAAAACAGAGGGTCCTCAACCTTTCTAGCTGTTGCAAAATGTTTGCCAGCGTGGACCCCAAACAATAAGTTGTCGCACTCTAGCTGTGTATACCATGTGGTGCAAGCCACATACGGAGTGCAAGTTCTGTGGTGCAAGTCTACGTGGTGCGAACTATGTCGCGTACGTATGCTAATGTCCGCCCTGTGCAGTGCAAGCTGTGGTGAAATGTCTGTGGTGACAGCTATGCGGTGTGAGCTGTGTGGTGCTAGTTGTGTGGCCGCCCAGGTGATTGGGATGGACGAGGAAGGGTGAGGGACGAACAGGAGGATGAGCATGCGAGGGAGGCGGAGGGAGGGAGGGGGAGGGGGAGGGAGGAAGAGGGCAAGGAGGAGGGCAAGGAGGAGGGAGGGAGGGAGGGCACGGGAGGGAGGGAGGCAGGAGAGCGCGTGGACGACGAGAGGACTGGGAACACGGGACCTCGGCTCGTTTTTCCGCGCCTGCCCCCCCCTCGGCGGGCGCGCCGCGGCTGCTCGCCGCCCCGCTTTGGCCACTGGCTGGTGTCCAGTGCCGCCCGCACCGCCCCCTCAGCGCGGCGGCGCCGATCCCGCGCCGCCGAGCTCGAGCCCCGCCAGCGCTGCCTGGGCCTCCTCCGCGGGGGGGCGGCGGGAAGGAGGGAGGACGACGCGGGGCGAGAGGGGGGCAGATGAGCGAGGAGCGAGGAGGGGTGATGAGGAGGAGGGGCGGGAGGGGCGAGGCACGAGGATCCGAGGAAGCAGGAGCGAGGAGGGAGGAGAGAGGGACGCGGAGCGAGGAAGGAGGAGGGAGGATGTAGGAGCGAAGAGGGATGAACGAGGAGGGAAGAGCGAGGAGGGGGGAGGGAGGAGGATGAGCGAGAAGGATGAGGAGGACCGGCGTAAGCCCAAGGCTCATCCATGATGTTGGGACACACCCTCCCTCCAAGCTCCCCCGTTGTAGGCCCCTGCGAAGGTCCATTTCCACTGGGGAAAGAGTGCCGTCGGGGAAAAGCCATGTGAACATCTTGACGCGTGCCAGAAACGCCCTTCTCAGGACTTCAACGTTATGATTCAGCTGGACTGTTGCGTCTAGACGATCCTGAATCGTGCCAGAACGCCCTTCCTAGGACTTCAACACCGCGAGTCAGCCTAACTGTTGCGCCCTCATAATCCTGAGTCGCTTCAAAACGCCATTTCTGGAATGTTAACCACGAGAACCCGTGAAACCCTTGCAATGTCTTCGCGCAGATGTGCGCGGCGCTATGGCAAGAGCCACATTAAAAAAAGAGCCGCCCTCGACTCGTGGAGCTCTTGCGGATTCCGAAGAGGAATGTGCGCGGCGCGTGGGCGACAACCACATTTTGAAAACGAGCCCCCCTCAATCGGTGACGCTCTTGCAGTTTCTTGAAACAGATGTGCACGGCGCTAGGGAGGGAACCACATCTTGAAAACGACCTGTCCTCAACCCGTGAAGCTGTTGCGAATGTTTAAAACGAGTGTGCGCGGCGCGCAGGCAAACATAACGTTTTGAAAACGACCCGCCGTCAAGCCGTGAAGCTCTTGCCAAACTTTAGAAACGAATGTGCGTGGCGCAGAGGCGAAAACCACATTTTGGCAGCCGCCCGCCCTCCATGTGTAAAACTGTTGTCACTTCGAAACCTTCAGGCTCACAGAAGGTAAAGAAGTCTCAACCGAAACGCCCAGCCCGCCCTTCCGTTTGGCCTCGGGGTGCGACACAGAAAAAATAAGCATAAGGAAAATGAGCAGAGGAGGAGGCTCACGTCTCATCAATGGGGATGTCAATTAAGGGGGCGGGAGGAAAGCGGGGCGTGGGCACCCATCCGAAAAGGACTTTCGCCAGCCCCCCCCCGCCCCGAAGTGCCGTCCCTTTCGGGCAGCCCTCACGCCACCGCACGCCCACCGAATTCCCGAGCCTCGTGCTGCGCGTAGACCGCTTCGGCACGGGCAGGAGGAGATGGAGGAGGTAATCGCTGGATTTCGCTGGTGATCACAATGTGGTGGGAGGAAGAGGTGGAGGAGGAGGAGGAGGAGGAGGAGGAGGAGGAGGAGGAGGAAGAGGAGGAGGAGGAGGAGGAGGAGGACGAGCATGTGCCAAACGACGACGACAGGCGTCCCCGAAGGGGGCACCAATACGAACAGGTGCGCTGGGATAGGACAGTAGCTCGGCGCCTGCCCACTTGCGGCCACCTTCCCACGAGGTGGTGTGCCGCCTCCGGTGGTGCTGGGGTGAACGAGGCACCCGCCTCTGCAGGCGATGCAGGTCCTGATTCTGAGGACCCCGTTGCGCCGACCCTAATGTTGAGTCGGGCGTGTGCCCCCACAGGGGGATTTTCGACGAGCAATTAAAAATACTCAAACAATATACCAAAATGGTCAGACATATTCAAAACATGTCCCCAGACTATGTTTTGACTATTTTTGATGATTCCCCCTGTACAGGGACGGGCCCCACTTAACCCTGATACTGCGGGCCAGCGATTCGGACCCAGGAGGGCAAACGTGCGCCTCACCTGTGCGTGGGACCCATGGTGCGAAGGAATTGAACCCTCCACCACGGCAAGAGAACGACCGCCCGCTTGTCCCCAGCGACCACGCGTCGACTCTAAGTGACAATGTGCCCGTCGCATAAGGTGGCGCTGGCACCAGGATGCGGCACCATACCCCCGCAAAGGGCAAGAGGAGGAGGAGGAGGAGGAGGAGGAGGAGGAGGAGGAGGAGGAGGAGGAGGAGGAGGACAAAAAGGAGGAGGAAGAGGAGGCACCGTCGCCATTTAGGCTCAAGGCCCGACCGATTTCGGGTAGTGGCGAGAGCGGCACCGCAGCACCCTCAGGCTGGCGCCCGCGATCGGAGACCAATCTAACGCGCGCCCTGGCGGGGAGGCCATGTTCAATTTATCGGCAGGACACTTTTTCTCCACATGTCTCTCATGTCCCCTCTGTTTCTCTATGTCACTGCC